TGTACAAATACAATGGACATATTAATTATAATCATTGTTTGTCGTGCACTCTCGCTATATGCCAGAGATAATTAAATGCCTGCTGTCGATTTGTGCTGATCAATGCATATTCCGAGATGAGAACGCGTGTGCGCGAGCGCACGTCACTGATCCGATCCACAAATGATACGAATATTGGGGAAGATAGATTACTTCAACAGCAACAACTCAGTGAAAGAAACAAATTGCCGTTGCTTGAACTCAATCGCGTGTAATCGAAGTGCTGTTCAATAATATCGACGATCAAAATAATTATGATGCAAGGTCCGATTTATAGGACAAATTAAACAATATTATTAATTGATGTTTCCTTCAACTGTTTGCTGCCGCTATTGCTGCTACTATGGATTGCCGCACACATTTTCTTCGACAATTATGCTCATCATGGTGTTTGTTTGTATGGGAGCGCGATGCTTGTGATCCAATCGGCAATTTCATTTTCTTTAGGCATAGAAATTGAAATTAATGCACGACTCTTGATAGTTATTATTAAATGAAAATCGTAACACGGGCTAACCATCTGTTTGCACATGCCGCGCGTCACTTTTCCTCTGTTTCTTTGTTTTGCGTGCTGCTTTCGTCGTACATAACTCGTACTCGGCATTATTTCGAAAATCATAAATGTCGACACTTTCTTCGAATGAAACAAGAAACAAAAAAGAAATTGCAAACAGTAATAAAGCACAGAGAGATTAATTGGGGGCTGAATATATGAGAGCGGCAAACCCAAAATGATAAAATAGGGAAGGAAAAAAACAAAATATCAAGCGAGAAAGAAAGAAAAACGAAGAGGAAATAAGAGCGACTAAAATATGTGTGCGAGCGAATGACACCTAGCACAAGCCTGCACCGCTAAAGTGGTTTCATTAACCTACTTAAAATTACACAATCGTCAAAGTTTTTTTTTATCTACTCTCTCTCTCTCTCTCTCTCTCTCTCTCTCTCTCTCTCTCTCTCTCTCTCTCTCTCTCTCTCTCTCTATTTCACGTAAAAGTGAGATCGTCTTTTTCAGAATTTAACGGGTACACGTACGGGTGTACCGATCGAACGAGCCGCAAAAACAGAACAAAATATGAAAGAAAGAAATGAAGTGAAACACGAGTGAAGAACTCTTGATTTTCATGGCTCACTTCAGGTTTGCCGATCATATCTTGAGCGTTTGCAACGGCCAACCCATATATCGGCCCACCATCGACAATAAATTGCTTGAAAGGAAATTGAAAAGAATTATTATTGGCGTGAATTTGATCGATTGAAATAGATGCGGAATTGTGCTAAAATGAAAGCTAATTAGAACCGACAGACACTATTCGAGCACATAGACAGAGGCTCCGGCACAGTGAGCGAGAAAGACCAAGAATCGAATTTGCGCTGTATTTTCCGTGTTACTCCAGTCAACGTATATTTATGCATCGGATCAAACATTTTCATACGACGTTCGAAACACACAACGCGTTCAAATGCACAGCAGCAGCAGCAGCAGCAGCAGCAGCAACAGCAGTAGCCGTACAGAGAATTCTAGTGACCTCTAAAACGATATCACGCCCGCATTACTTGTTTCTTGTTGCTTATTTTTGCACTCGTTTTTTTCCCTCTTGTTATTTTAGTGTAATTTGTACATTTTTTTTCTCATTCTGTTCACTTTATTTCATTCGTTCGCCTGTTCGTCTCGCCACATCGTATACGTAAAAGTCTCGCATTCATTGCATGCACATGTCGATGTGTGCGTGTGCCTTACACAAGCACAATATACGTACACATATATCAAGTCAAGTGCACCTCTTTTATTTCAAATGCGGTTTCTTCTTTTTTTCGTTTCATTGTAAACCGTTCGCTCGCAGACGCGCGAGCGCGCTCATCCTCTCGCCTCACAAAAGAAGTTTCGCCGGATTTTCCTGGATATTATTCTCATCATCGTCGTCTGTTTTGTTTTTAATTAGTATGATGGAACTTTTGTCATTTAAATCCATTGGCATAGAGTGTGCTCTTTGTTAGTGTGTTTGTGTGTGTGTCAGTCATCATATATTGATGCAATGAATGCACGCAAAAAGGCTAAGCAAACAATATACATTTCACGATGACAACAACAAAAAAAACACAACAACCGCCGAATGACGAACGCTTACCGACAATTATTGATTATTATGCATTTGGTTTGTAAATGAAATCGGCATACGACACACACACACACACACAAATGACACCGAAGAAGAGACAAGAAACATGACGCGGTTGCGCTCGCGCACAAGCCAACCAACTCACTTTGTTTTGTTATCGAATCGTCCGCCGAAATGCATGCGCCGCAAAAAAGAACGTTGACCATAAGTGAAATTCATAAATTTATTATTAGATAAATTGAATGCGGCGACAAATAAAAATAAACAGCGAACGAGAGACAAGAACGTGAATCCAGAAGGAAGAACGGGAGCCACGGGCAAAACAAATAACTGAGCAGCACTGAAATTGAATAAGACAAAATGCAAACAAATAAATAAATAAATAATATGAGTTGTTTGCATCGTGAATGCGACGCGGCGCGACGATGACGGTGACACGGCGGCACACATATATGAGGCACTCATCTATTTGTATGAACGAAAAGTTGCAGAGAGTTGTTGTGTTTGCTGCTGCTGCTGCTGCTAATGCCGTTGATGTGCATATATGTGTGCAATTTCGGTCGATGAAATTCAATCCGGCCGCGCCAGACGGCTAATACATTTTTCAAAAACCCTATGATATTACCAAAGATATTATTATATGATTCTTTTAGTTTTGTTTTTCTTTCGGTCGTTCGTTCGTTGGTTCGTTCGTTCGTTCCACCTCTATTCGTCAGCCGTGCTGGTTGCTATTGTATCGCATGCACCAAACACTTTTCCACTACTCACGAAATGGTTCGAATTGATAATCCGCAACGCGAGAGCGCAGTGTTGTTCGGTCGGATTGAATTTTCTTTCTCTGTTCTTGTTGTTGTATTTCGTAGTGTTGTTTATTTTTCTTTTTCGCTTTCTCGCTCGCGTTTGTTGCTGTTGGGCCAATATCAATATCGTGTGCCTTAAGAAAAACACAAAAGCATTTTCGTTTGACTTTGAACGATTAACGAGCCGTGTATATGTGAAAAGGCCGAGTGCGCGCGCGCCCCTGCTCATTCGCGTTCGCGATAAAAACGAATCGCGACATTTTACAATCATTCTTCTTTTTTTTTTCATTCGCTTTCTTGTGTTGTGTGTTACTTTCTGCTTTTGTAGTGGTAGTCGTCGTCGTCGTCGTCGTCGTCGTTGTTGTTGTTGTTGTTGCCAGTCTCTTCAAAGCAAAGTCAAGCGAATCAAAGTGAGAAAGAAAATGAGTAAAATTAAATGCGGCACGTTGCAATAAATATTTTTTTCTTTCCTATATGCAAGACGGTCAAACAAGGAGACCAGTAAACATACATAAAAGAGACAGAGTGACTAGGCTCGATAGTGAATGAGAGAAAATGTCAATTTATACGCCGTGCTGTTTGGCTAGAGTCGAAATATTGAATATGTATCGCAGCAAAACGAGATTCATACGGCTGCTAGATCAGCATGGAAAATGGCCCATCGCGACCAATGATATTATACAGACCCACAGAGAGACAGTGAGATAGAAATAAAGAGAAAGAAAACAACAGCCAAAACCAAAGATTCCAAAGTAACTCAAATTAAAGACCATTTTGAAAATTTCCATGTAATGTGTCGATGTCGAATCACGAGTTTACATAAATTGAATACACGGTGAATAATTCTTTTTATTTTGTTTTGTTCGGCTTTGCAAACACCGAAAAGAAAAGAAAAAGAAGAAGAAGAAGAAGGAAAAAACCAACCAACCAACAGCAATTGAATATAACCCATACACACAGTGAATTTTAGAGCCGAAAGAAACAAAATGCAAATCGCACACGAAAGCCCCGTATAATAATAAAATATAGAGGAACAAAAAAAGAAGAAGAAGAAGAAGCAGCAGCAGAGTGAGCGAGCCAACAACGACAAAATAGCTGAATAACAATTTAAAAGACGAAAGGCGAATACAAAAACGACATAAATAAATGAATAAATCTACGCGGTGAACACATCATAATGTGAAGAAGCAACGAAATAGCCCGCGTAGTACCGCCGCGCACGAACGCTAAAAGCACAAACATAAAACGCAATGATGAAAAGAAACAAACTGGATTTATCGACGAGCTGGAATTAATCACAATCTGGGATGGAATGAATTCCAAAATTTCCATAAAATTTGGCTGTTTTGAATTCCATCTGGATCAATGAGACGTCATCGTTGCTGTGCTGTCGCCACTACCGCCACCGCCATCGTCGTCGGCACCATTCTCTTTTTCTTTTGTTTTGTCGAGAGGGAGAGCGACAAAACGATTCCAGTGTCGTTCATTTCACCTCATCTCGCCCATGATCTACTACAGTCCACAAAATCATCTTCAGCCACACACACACACACACACACACACACTCACATCGACACGAAGCTTGTACACATCGCACTTGGTATACAGCATACATCATCACATAAGAGAAATGACTTGAATACCCACATGTTTTTCTATGCTATGTGCAATATATGCTCCTGACTGCTGCTTCTGCTGTTTCAAATGACATACATGCAGGCAAGAGTGGCTCTCAACACTGGCCTACATCAATGTGTGTTCGCTTCTGCGTTGCATTCTTGTTCTATTTCGCTCTCACTTACATTCATTTTCGGTTTCATTTCTGTGTTATTTACTACGATCAATCGGTCATAGTTTGTTTTTTCCTTCCCTTCCTTCTTCGCATTGTATTGGCTAGCATTTTTTTCTTCTTCTTCATCTTTCCTGTTCAGTTCAGTTCAGCTTTGCATTATTATTTAAGTGCGTTTTTTTTCGTTCTGTATTTTGCATTCGATGCGCCCGGTTTGAGGCAGCACATTTAATTTCGTTTTCCGATGGACTTTGTCTTCATCCTGTGTGTAGAAATCGACACATTAAATATGCGACGGCCTGTGTGTAAAATTCATAAATGCGTTTATTTTTTATTTTTCGTCTATATAAATACGTACGTACGTATATATTATATTGTACAAATGGGCATTAAACCGATTTATACGAGAACACGAATCGGTTCAAGCGTACTGCATGCAAATGCCCCCGAGGCTGAAAATGAATACCGAATCTGAATGCATAAAGAATGTTTCGAATGGGCAATTGAGCCATTCAATCAGACTGAAAATAAACAATTTCATTACCATAGCGGCTAATTAGCAGATTTACGACTCAACAACATGTAAATGTCTTGGAATCGAAAGTTTCACCATTTAGTGAAATCAGTTAGAGACGACGACGACGACCATACGTACGAACGATCGAATGCTATATGTGTACGGTGTTCACTCTTTCTTTCTTTTCTTTTTTCTCTCGCTCTCGCTTGTTCATTTTTTTCATCCGATTCACCATGCACAACCTCTATTGAAGATGCATTGCACACACAGCTACACACATTCGTCGAACGCAGAAAGTGGATGTGAACGAAAGGGAGATAGAGAGCCAAAACAAAATACACTTTCAAAGCGCTTTCATTGGAAGACAAAGTTATTAGCGATGACACAAACCGCACTCTGCTTGCTGGCGAATGCATTCCATTGGTGTATGAAAGTCATAGAAAAATCGAACGAAAACCGGTAATGTGAAAAGTTTACATGAAAATCGGGCAAAACTGATGCGGATGCCATATTGATTGGCCGCAAATTTCGGTTGCAAAATGCATTTTATTTGATGAGTTTATCGGCCGATGGATGACGCCATCTGTTGCGATCATCGCATCACAATCTTTTCCAAGCTTTGTGTGTACACATTCATGAAGGCATTTTTGATTCTTTTTTTTCCCTTCATCATTCTATTCCACGCACAAACACATAATCAGTGTGGTATGTCATCGCCGCACACAATATCGACTTGTGCGTGTCTGTGTGTAGCAGTAAGCGAAACTTATATTTTTTTCTATTCGCAATCGCATGTACAGCACAATACTAACCAAATGCGCAGCACCGTATTTCGCGTCTCGTTCGCACGGTTCTGACTGCTTTTGATTGTGTCTCTGTTCACTCACTCGTTTCGTTTCGCTTGTTGGCGTGCTGGTGCTGCTTCTGTACATACATACAAAATTCATCATGCCAAAGCCCGTCGTTGTCTCATACTCTCCCACTCTATCACACACATTTGCGACTCTAGCTTCGTGTTAGCTTCGTTTCAGATGTCGAACAATGTATGCATGTGTCCGTGTGTGTATTATGACTCTCTCACTCTGTCTCCGTGTATGCATGTGTGTTGTACGTATGCGTTTGTGTGTGTGTGGTTGTGAATGTGTCCGCACAGCGCTTACTGCTACATTCGGTCGTCGAGTGTCAGTCAGTCATTGTTTTCAATCGAAATTCTGTAGACAAAATAACACAACGAGAGTGTTCTCTTTTCACGACCGTACACGCCGTATGAAGTATACACTTCTTTTTTTTATTTCATTTTTTTCTCACTCTTCGTTTTATATTTCTTATTGTTTTTTTTTTCGCTGTGTGTTTTTAAAAAAAGATTTAGCCCGAAGAAACCGATTGTGTGTGTTTAATGAAAAAAAAAATCAACAAATTCAGTGGTGTCGATGATAAAAATGACGGGAACGCACAATATATCCATTTGTCATACATAGCCGCAGTGCAATCGAACTAATAAAAGAAAAAAATTCGTTCATTCGAGAAAAAAAAACAACATATACCGAGTGAGAGAGCAAAACAAAAAACACAAATTATTTTGTAAAAGTTTTAGTGCATGGTGGAAAGAAACAACTAACCAACCAACCAACCAAAAACAAAAAGTGAAAGAGTAAAACGAAAGGAAGAAGAATTTCGAACAAGTTGAATTTTTCAGAGCTCTGAATGTTTTGTGTGTGCGTTCATATATAAATACATATATGTATATTTCAATTTTTTTCTCTCATCGTTCGTTGATTTCAATCGGTCAATCAGGCTCTCAGCGTATAAAATATATCAAATAGTAAATAAAGGTTAGTGTGCCTAAACACGACAAGAAACAACACAAATACATCAAGACAGAAAGAGAGAGAGAGAGAGAATATATGTGTGTGAGAGAGAATATATGTGTGTGAGAGAGAAAAAACGACAACATTTCAGGAACAACAACAAATCCACTGATTTCGAGTCTTTCTACATTAACTGAAGAAGAGTAGTTACACAGAGTAGCTTAAAAAGATTCTTTTGCCTAAAATAAATGCGCGTTGGTTTGTGATTTTTATTTTTTGTTGTTGATTGTTTCGAGTTTCATCACGAGTAGTCTTGACATGTTCGACATGTGTGTGTTGTCTTTTTTTCTGAATATCCCATTCATTTGGTCTCTCTCTCTCTCTCTCTCTGTCTGTCTCTGTATCTGGTTAGAAGAAACAATCAAAATCGAAAGAAGAAAAAATATTTTCATTTGTTGTGTATGTGTGTGTTGTTCCTCTTGTGAGTTTTACAACCAACAACAGCAACAGAAAATCGCAGAGCTTTGAGAATTTGAAATTTTTTTCGAGAGAGTGAACTCGGGAGCGTTATTGATGTCGTTGTGTGTTTGATTTATTTGCCGACAAAAACGAATAAAAAATTTCATACGCTAAATTGATCGGGCGGCAGTCACCGCTGCCTCTGTGGTCGTCATCGTCGACGTCGGTCTATCGGGATGTATGTGTATGTGCATATATGGGCCTCTCTACGTCTCTGCAATGCAATTGTTTAATTGAATATTTATCGACCGAAAAGTGAATAGCATCATGAATATGATATCTATGCATATCTTGGATTAAGTGCCATTGTTATGTGCTGTTAATTTTTGCATTGATTGCGCTCAAGTTTTGTTTGTTACGTATAATGTTGTAGTTTTTCTTTACTTCGTTTCATTGGCATTTGCAAATGGTATTGAAATGCCATTCAAATGAAGTAAAATAAAAGAAAAAAACAAATCATATGGAAACACGGAAGGAAAGAAAAATGTGTGTGTGCAATAGCTATTGATATGGTGAAAAATCACGATGATAATGTAAACGAATTGTTTTTCAATAACAGCAGAGAGGAAAAAAAAATTTCAGAAAAAATTCAGCTCAAGTGGTGGCTCAACGAGAGACTGTGTAATATCACATTTTCTGCTGTTGTTAAATGAATACAATTTTGATATGATTTCGCCCTCGGGCTCCGCTGTCGTCGCGCAATACTAGCAAACAGAGCATCAACAGCAACAGCAGCAGCAGCACCCGTTTTTGTGTGTCGGATATAAATACATATACATACCAATACCATTTCGCTAATTACAAAACGGTTTGAATTACACAATTAAATTTAGCATAAGCGTGAAAGGACCTATCGATATTGCTCACTTACATTTATTATTTGCTTTATTTTGGTTGTTGAGCCGTTGCTTTTGGAAACGGAAATCTAGGTCCTTTCAGCCAATATATACCACTTACACAGAAATATTTCACGGTTGTGATTCATTCAATCGAAATTAGGCTTTCCATCCATCAATCGAAGCCAAGTGCGGCAATTTTCTCTCTCTCTCTCTGTCTCTCATTCATGATACTCAATTGTTAAAATATCATCAGCATCATCGTAGCAGTCGTCGCCTTCGTCGTCGCTTTCGTCGTCGTCGTCATACCAGCAACAAAGATTACACAAAATCATAATAGAGCCATCGAAGGTTTTCAATTCGAAACAGCCATACAGCATACACTCATACGCTGAGTAACAACACAAAAACAGAGAATAGAAGAAACAAAAGTGATTTTTTCCCTATTCGCTTCATCTTCGGCTGTGCTTTCATATGTATGTAACACTATAGTGAATATTCCATCGATGCTCGACCGAATGAAAGAAGAGAAGAAAAAAACAGATCAAGTAGAAAGAAAAAGAAGGAAGAAATTCGTGCGATTGAAAAAGAAAAATAAATCCGAAAAATATGCATAGAAATATGTGCAGTAGCTAGGATATTTAAAGTTGTCAATATTTTTTCGGGCATTTTTTTTTGTGACCAGCAAAAGAGCTCACTGTGTTTGGTTCGGTTCAATGGACGGGGCATGCATTGACCTAAGGATTCCCCAAACGCGTTTCGTATTATTTTGTAAACACGCTTCATAAATATTGAACGCTCTTCTTACTCTCACCGCTCAATTTTTCCATATGTATATGATGATATACATATATTTACTTTAGCCGTCCCCAATGCGATATCAGCCGAGCGCTCATTGTTTACGATGAACCGAATGAACCATTATGATGGTTCAATCCATTTCGTGTGTGACAAAACAACCGAAAATTCGTTGAACTATTTCGAAATCCTATTAATGACGCAGAGCAGCAACAGCAACAGCAACAGCAACAGCAAACAACAGCGGCTCGACACACTCACAATTCAAGTGCACGACTCGAAAGATTTGTGTGCGTGTGACGCGCTACGAATCGAGAGTCAGGTACATGAGCATAACCGAAACGGCAATAGAAATAGTAATTTTTTTAGAGAAAGTTTTTTTTTCCTTCGTGTGTGTTTCATTCTCTTGGTGTTTTTTTTTTCTCTTCTTCTTTTTCTTGGTTTCGGTTGAATTGTTTTTGTTGTTTTTCTTTTATTCGAATGAAGTGTTGTTTGAGAGGCATTTTGTCCTTGTGCTTTGTGCCCACGACCAATTCTTGAATATCATATGCAATTTTACGATAGCAGCAGATCGAGGACGATTTTGCGTGTGATGCACAAATTTTCATTAAACCGAAACTCTGTTGATTAACCGAGTTAATGGCTCCATTAAGCGAAAAAAAGCAGCAGCAGCAACAACAACAAAAGCGATAAAAAAAATGCACAAATTCCGAATTAATAAATGGGAGAGAGTGAGAGGGAAGAAGAGAGAAAAAGTGTCCATCGCAAATTGTAATGAAACTGGGGGTATTTTGCATATACCTAGAGAGATGACAAGAGTAAGAGTGAAAAGGAGATATATAAAAAGAGATGAGGCCACAAAACGAGTGCGCTGTGGTACTTGAAGCAAAAGTACAAATTCATCGAGTTGAAATATTTCCATGAATGCGCTGCTGCTGTTGCTGCTGCTGCTGTGTTTCATTCGCATCATCATCAGCAGTAGTAGCAGCATCAGCAGCAGCAGCAGCAGTGCGTGGAGTTGAGAGAGTGAGAGAGAATATGTAAGCGTGATACTTTACACAGCCTTGAACATTTTATACATTTTTGTATAGCGCGTTGATGCCGTCGTTGCTTCCATCGTCGGTCGTCGTTATTACAGCCGCCGCTGTGGTCGCCGTTTTAATTCTGATGTTGTGCTTTAAATAAACGTGTTTCAATGAGTTGTGTTCAGTGTTTGCATTCGCATATGTGTAGACACAAAAATGAAGAGAGAAGAGAAGAAAAAAAATAAGTGCTCTATACACTTTAAATTACGATAGAGAAGAATAAGTAGTATGCTGTGTGTTATAGAAACGGCGAAGCGAACGAATGTATGTATGAACAACAAAAACAGCAACAACAACTGAAAACAGAAATAAAACACGCACGAAAAATAAAAGTAAAAAAAGTCATGGAAACACACACGATACGTACAATAAAATGAAAATGTGAAAAGGAGAAATACAATTCTGCGGTTATTATTAAGCGAGCGAGTGAGCGAGTGAGTGTGTGTGTGCGTGTGTGTGTGTGTGTGAATGTGTCGGTTGATTTGTAATGTGAATTTCATGAACGATCCATGAAAACGGGTAAAAATGCATAAACACACATGGACATCAAATAGATCGACAGCGATTGACTCTCTGCGCTGTGCCTCTATTTTTGTTCTTCTATCGCACACTCTTACTCTCCCTGGCTCCGGTAGGCTGGCAAGTTGGACTGGCTGCTTCACTCACTCGCTCATCCGACCGACATTTTCGCTCTTGGTCACTCACTGACAACAATCACCACGGCAAAACCATGATAAAGCCCATAAAATGTTTCTACTTTGTGTGTATCTCCCTCGGCATCATTTTATTGGGTGTTTGTTGTAAGTTTTGTGCCTATGTCTGCGTTTCTTATTTCTTCTCGTTACTTTTTTTCTCTCATTTTCAATTTTTTCTTCTTTTAATTCATCGGTTATTGTGTTGCTGCGTTTCTGCTGGTTTTTTTGTTGCATATTTTCGCTTGCTATCTTGATTCTATCTAATGTACAACCGTACCAATCAATTGAAAATATCTCCTAGTTACAGAGTAATGACTATAATAACTCATATTAACCGAATACCGTACATGCACCACATATATACATGTGTACATAAAGACAAGTAACGCAGCCAAAACAGCAGCAGCAGCAACAACAAAGAAGAAATTGTAATTATTATGTGGCAAATATATAGTGCAGCAAGTGAGAGCGATTATTATCACACGCCGCATATTTTCTCCATAAACGTGAAGTTCATACAACTGCACTACATTTCTATATTTTTCTGTTGTTGTTGTTGTTTTTCTACTCTTGTTATTTTTATTATTATAGTTTTATCTCCCTCTCTCTCTCTCTCTCTCTCTCTCTCTCTCTCTCTCTCTTCTCATATATATCTGGCCAAACAAAACGAATCGATTGGTAGAGAGTAGTAGCAAGAAAAAGTGGCAAACTTTTCTTTTCTCGTTTGCGGCTCTTCTTCTCATTTACCCATATTGAAGACGAAAGAAGCAGAAAAAAACATTGTTGCTGGTTATTCGTGCGCTTTGTTTATAAATGAATAATTATTGCAATTATAACAATAGATCGTACACCGAAATTCATGTTGTTCACTCTCTTCTTTCCGTGGAAACAAAACACTCGATTTTTGCGGTTGCTGTGCTTTTTTTTCGGCATGAGTAAATGTTTTCGCTACGAAATATCACGATCAAACTCTCTCATTTGCATTCTCAGTCTTTCATCGCGCACCACCTAAAAACCAAAGCCTAAGCCGATGATAAAACATCAGTTCAAGCGCAAAAAGAAGAAACAAGCATACACTCAA